AACCTGCCTCTTTTGGAAAGAATATAGGTCTAAGAACGCTAGCTTAACATCAATATGTTATTTAGAATATCTAATTTTTAAATGAAAACCACATTTTAAGCTATCACTTAAGCTTTTGAAAACAGGACCCATATGTGTCTCCTTTTCTGTTTTCCCACAGCAACAAGCCTAGCTCTAGGCACACAGTTGGTGCTTTGTTAACTGCTTCTTGAATGCTTCTCACAATCCATTTAGGCTTAGATTTTCAGGTGCTATCAACTATTAGGGCAGATGTAGCAAAGCTATTCTTTGATTGCATTAGAAATACAGTTCATAACTATACCTCTTCCAGTACACACTGGGCGCATACCTTCTCCCCTCTCCCCCATCAGCTGAACAATGTGAAGGTTTATGTTTCTACAATAATTCATAACTCTTAAGAATCCTCCAGACTTTACTTAAATGTTTCTACAATAATTCATAACTCTTAAGAATCCTCCAGACTTAATGTAACTTTACTTAATGGTGGTTTGAATAGATCAATAATTTATTCCTATAGATCTACAAAGGATTCTTTCTGTAACCAGAAGGAATTGCATAACTAGAGTCTTATGTTTTTACTAGAGGCCCCATGCATGAAAGTCATGCAAGAGTAGCCTGCCCTTCCCTCAGCTGCGGGCACCAGCTTCCCTCTGGCACCCAGGAACCTGAGCTTCCCTCTGGCCACCAGCATGCAGCCAGGACCCGGGCTTCCTCCAGAAGGTTTTCTGGAAGGACATCTGGTCTAATTAGCATATTATGCTGTCACTATATTATTTTTCTATATCTCTAGTTTCTCCCTTTTGGTTATCTTCAAAATACCAACCAAAATTATGAAGATATGCCTAAGCTAATGAATTCCCAATAGCACTGAAATGTTTTTCTCCTAACACCATGAACAGTAATTCACCTTTTCAGTCATGAATTGCACTCGAATGTGGGCCTTACGTCTGGTCCTTAAACACCCTCGTTATCCTTTGGAACAGGAACAGTCATGCTACAGTTGGCAAAACCGTTGTGTGCACAATGAAACTCTTATAGTTTTGTTCAGCCTTGAATCTTGTTTTTTTAAACTTAGAATTTATTTTTTTATTAATATGCAGATAATTATAGCATTTTGGGAGAAAATCAGCGCTGTGAGTTATCTGGCCTATGCTTCTTGCCTCACTACTCTGTGTGCCACGTACTGTTGAGTTGTCTCCAGCGACCCCATGAATGAGTGGTGTGCTCAGTGTCTCGGTCCCAGCAGCTCCTTCCAGCAGCTGTAGACTCAGCCTGTGGCTTCTATTATGGAGTCTGTCCTCCTCACAGTTGGCCTTCCCCTTCTGCTGCTGCCTTCTGTTTTTCCCAGCATTATTGTCTTTTCCAAAGAGCCTGCCTTGTCTTGATGTGCCTGAGGTCGGACAGTTCAGTTTTGTCATACTTGCCTCCAGTGATGTTTTAGGCTTAATTTGCTTCAGGACCCACTTGTCTGTCTGTCTGGTGGCCTGGGGTATTGGTAAAGCAATCAGTCCTCCCAACTGTTTCAAGTGAATCATTTGTTTTCTGTCAGCCTTCTCCCTGTCCAGCTTTTGCATGCAAGGGTGTGGGTAGCCTCGGCCTTGATCTCTAATGATACATCTTTGCTCTTGGTGATCTTTTCTAATTTTCTCATTGCTGCCCTTCCTAGTCTCCGCCTTCTCTTGATTTCTTGACTGCAGTCTCCATTTGAATCGATGCCTGATTGCATCAGCTAATATTGTTTTATCAGGTGTCTGATATATAGTTTATTTAAAGGAATTAAATAGAGGACCAACTTGTTTTTTTTTTAAATTGTTCCATTCAGATCTCCATTATGAGCAATAGCTTGGGATTAGTTGTCAGTGACAGACTATATATTTTATATGCTTTTTAAAATAGAGAAGGTGAAAAATAATGATTATTGCAGGTAAGAGGTTTTAGTCCATTTTTGTGTTATATGAGTTTGCCCTCCAAGAAGTAGGATATTTCCTTATAAAAGTAACAATCAAGACAGTTGTTTATATAGTTAACTTGCCAAAGTTTTTTTTTAAAAAAAACACACCTTTACTCTTTGCCCTAAAACCATGATCCCACACCCATGACTAGAAAGAGCATATCTCTAGGGTGCCAGGGCTCAGGTCACTGCTTTAGTACAGGGTTTCTGTGCCTGCGCAGCAAGGGTGCTGGTGGCAATGTGTCCCAAGTGTGTGTGTGTGTGTGTGTGTGTGTGTGTGTGTGTGTGTATGTATGTGTGGAGGGCGGAGCTGTGTCCAGACTTAGGATGGCCTATTTTCTATCAGACCCACAAGCACCATCTACGGGCTGAAATCCAGGTAAAACCTATTCAGTATGAAATGGGACTTCTTTTTTAATTTCCTAGCATTATTTCAGTTCCCCAAGTTCTGTCTTTCCCCAAGTTACAAATGTTGGGGAGATGCTGTCCTTATGGTTCCACTCTGTAAGTTTTAGTAAATACCAGTTTATTAGCCTAACTACATTTTTATCTCCTTTCTGTTCAAAAGATGCCAGCAATGAGAGTATTTTGCTGAATTGATAAATTATTCTGCTTAAGGACAAGCAAATCACTTGGTAAAATCAGGAATATCTATTATTTCTCCTCACTAATAACTCTTGCCAGGTTACATTCTGTTGTTGCAAGTTTCTGTAATTTTCTCCTGTGACACCTTTCTGTTGTCTGACTTTAAATAAAATGTTTCTAATAGTATTTGTCTGGCAGTGCATTGCTTTGCTTTAATACATTCATCATTTAAAGACGAAGTGTAGTGGAGCCGTGTACTCATATAAGAGCTTGTAAATGGAGCCCACTCCTGCCTTCCTGCAGGGAGAGGGGGGTGGGCATGGCCACCAGTGTATCCATCAGGAGGCTGCGCGCACTACACCGACTTCCATCCTGCAGGCCCTGTGTCCCCATGCTGCGTTTGCTCTGGGAAGTATGTCACATGGGCAGAAATTAGTTTTCTATTAAAGGATCTGAATGAGAGGTTGCTAGCAAATAGGCTGCTTTGGAGCAGAGCAGGAACTCCAGGGTCAACGTCAGATCTCCTGGCAGGAAAGGCTCTCAGAGAGCCTGGTCACTCCTCTACCCCCAGCCCCACCCCTTACTATGATTGGAGCAACAATGAGGTGACTCATGCTTCCCTCAGAGGTTGGAAACCTCATTAGAAAACGTCTTGTGGCTTCTCCTGTCTGCTCAGTCAGGACGAGGGAGCCCTGGATTTAAGTGTCGAGCAGCCCTGACTGTGGCCACTTCTCCCCTGCGCGAGGTCGCAGTGGACCAGCCAGGACTCGGCATGGCTTCCTCGTGGACAAAACAAGGACTCGTCACTGATGTCAGAGCGGCATGTGAGTGCTCATCTGTGCCAGTGGCTGCCGGGCTGCTGCGATGGGGAAGACGGACTGCTTCCCAATGACACTGCAAAGCGAGTCTCCCTCCCTGCTTTGTGGTGAATGCCAAAGGATCAAGCACAGGACACATTTTAGAAGCTACAAGGAAAGGACTGTCCAGTGTTACTTAAGCATTCCACTCTAACGGTGTGCTTCTCCAACACCCTCTCATGAGGTGGCTCTGCTCTGGCCCATCCTCCACAGTGGCTCGCCGCTGCCCAGCGTTTATGACAGTCACAGTAAGTCCACTGGCCTTTAGCCTGCAGCACAGCAGAGTTTCTCGAGGGCCCCAGAGTGTCCTTAGTTATCCTTGGAACCACTTCTCCAAAAAGTGAAGGAAGGAAGCCTCTCAGCTTCCCTGAGGTCGCCTCCTTCCTCGAAGTAGCATCAGGAAGTCAGTAAAGGGGTGCTATTTTGAAGGTTATTAATGGACTTTCTCTTTTGTCTTTCCGAGTTTGCAAACTATCGCTTTGTGGCAGCCACACTCAGGTGAGTGTGTTTTCTGTGTCCTAATCAGGACTCTCAGTTTCTATGGCATGGATGCCCTCTGACAAAATGAGGTGCCCGCCCATCAGAAGTCAACGAAGAGGCCCCCATGGTCTTGAGCCATAAGAATCGAGAAGGGGCCGAAACTAGTTTGGCTCAGTGAATAGAGCATGGGCCTGCAGACTGAAGGGTCCTAGGTTCGATTCCAGTCAAGGCATGTACCTTGGTTGTGGGCACATCCCTGGTAGGGGGTGTGCAGGAGACAGCTGATCTATGTTTCTCTCTCATCGATGTTTGTAGCTCTCTATCCCTCTCCCTTCCTCTCTGTAAAAAAAATCAATAATATATATATATATATATATATATATATATATATATACAATATATATATATATATATATATATATATATATATATACACAATATATATATATATATTTTTTTTTTATTTATTTTTTTTTAAATCGAGGAGGGGCAAAATCCTGAGGGAGGTTGGTTGATACTTCCTGGGGCACTCCTCAACCAGAAGGCCACAGTGCACCCCAGTACATATCCAGTGGGAAAGGCCAGAGTGTGGGTGTCCATGGTTGGAACGATGGATACCAGCCAGTGGTCCCCCTGGGACCAGCACAGTGTCACAGGGTTCCCTGCCCCTGCCCCAGTGCATAAAGGTAAGAACCCACTCCTTTCCACGTCTGCGGTGTGTGACCTAAACTCTGCAGCCCACGGACACTTGCCGAAGAGCAGCCTCCATCCCCTTAAGCATCGGGGTTTTCAGAGCCCAGAGCTCACTGCAGCCCACGGGGCAGTTTGCTCCGAGGCCTCAGCTCCTATTTCGTTTGATCCCTGGCTCAGAGAGCCTGTCAGCACGGGTGTGCAGCTCTCAGCCAGAGCCAGGTGCATTGAGAAGATACCTCGTGAGATGTTCCAGGAGGCAGACACTGAAAATGTGGTGATGCATCACTCAAACGTCTCCAATACATAGAGAGGAAGCAGGACACGAGCGAGGCTGAGCAAATGTGGCTGCAAGATAGGTTAGAGAGAAAATTAATTACAGCCAGCACCCACCCAGCCACTGCCACCGCTGTCCCCACAGGCTGGTTCCCATGGCGACCAGAGAGAGCCTCAGGGCCAGTGTCGGAGAGCATCTGGGAGAACAATTCTCAGCTTTCGTAATGCTCTGGTAGTAGGGCTGCGAGCGTGGGGGGAGCTTTCGTGCTGGTTTTCCGCAGGCCCAGCTCATCGCAGTCCCGGCTGGAGGTTTCCTGAAGCCGGTGCTGCAGCAGTTTCCTTCTCCACTGCATGCAGAAGGCGGCAACTTCCCGCTCCTCCGCCTCGGAGGACAGCTGTCTCAAACCCTAGTGGAAAGAGAGACAGGTGAGCCCCGGGGACACTGCGCTGCCTGGAGCTCTGGGAGATTCCTCTGAGGGGCGGGGCTGGTTTCCTGATGGTCTCACTTTGCATTAACAGAGACCAGGGAACGGTATTCGGAGAGGCCCTCTGGCTGGGCACCACTCATTCTGAAAGGAGAAGCACAACAGTGCAAAGAGCCGCATATTTATCAATATAAGATGTTCTGAGAGGGTGATTTTTAAAACTCTCTCTTTACCCCAAATTCTGCCTCCTTTGGATTGTGCCATATTCACTTTGCTTTATGCAAAGGCCCCAAGGGTCTGGCCAGCGAGCGGCCTGAGCAGAGCCAGAACACAGGTGTATGCTCGGCTCTAATGTCAGGTTCACTTGCACTCAGATGGCCTGGAGATTAGGCAGTGGACTGGCTGGCCTAGACTGGTGCTGCAGGACCAGGGGGAGGCTGTGGGTGTGGCTGTAGGACCAGCGGGAGGCTGTGGGTGTGGCTGCAGGACCAGGGGGAGGCTGTGGGTGTGGCTGCAGGACCAGGGGGAGGATGTGGGTGTGGCTGCAGGACCAGGGGGAGGCTGTGGGTGTGGATGTAGGACCAGGGGGAGGCTGTGGGTGTGGCTGTAGGACCAGGGGGAGGCTGTGGGTGTGGCTGTAGGACCAGGGGGAGGCTGTGGGTGTGGCTGTAGGACCAGCGGGAGTCTGTGGGTGTGGCTGTATGACCAGGGGGAGGATGTGGGTGTGGCTGTAGGACCAACACGAGGCTGTGGGCGTGGTTGTGATGGATGGAGGGACACTATTCCTTAATGGCCAGGCCTGAGCTTTTCTCTCAATCTCCTTTATATTCAAAAGACTCTGAAACTTGTAGCTAAAATATGCACATTTTCCAAATGTTTTTCACTGAATGCTTCTTGAAATGAAAATTCTCCCTCTGCGTTCTTAGCACCTCCAGGCACTAGCCCACTAGTCCCAGTCTCTGACTTCATCTAATAAAAGAGCCAGTCAAATACATAAATACAAGGGGGAAAACAGACAAACCTGTAACTACAAATTGGGCTAAGTGCTACAAGGAGTTATACAAGGGACTAAAAGAGAAAACTGGGTGTGATAGTTTGAGTATGGGAGGTGTTCCATCTCCTGAGGAGGCGGAGTTTAAGCTTGGGCCTAAAGGATAAAGGAGCCAGGTGTGGGGAGACTTGGCAGAAGTTAAAGGGTAGAGGCACATCTCCCAGGTAGAATGATACCTATGAAGGCATGTGTCAAGGCCCTGGACAGGTGTTCTGTGAGGCATTCAAGTGTTTCCATTTCCAGCCTCCACTTGGACACAGAAAGCTGGAGACAGGATTGCTCCCCCCGACAAGAAAGTCAGATGATTCACAAAACCATAACCTTTCTTCAGTATCATTTTTTTAAATCTGCACCCAAAGGTATTTTCCATGGATTTTTAGAGAAAGTAGAAGAAAGAGGGAAACACAGAGAGAAATATCGATGTGAGAGAAACATCCATTGGTTGCCTCCTGTACTCGCCCTGGAGTCTGCAAACGAGGTACGTGCCCTTGACCGGAATCAAACCCAGGACCCTTCTGTCCGCAGGCTGAGGCTCTATCCACTAAGCCAAATTGGCTAGGGCCATAACTTTCCTTGAACCCATTAGGGAGCTGAGGTTGAAGGACATCAACTAGCCTGAAATCTAAGAAAAGACAGTCACTTTCACACAATGTGGGCACATCACTGGCTCCTTTAGGACAGAGCATAGGGGAAAGACGGGCTACCAGAGACTGATAAGAAGACTTTAGCTGGAATTCTTAACATGTTGCTAATCACCAAATGCACACAAGTGTGAGTATACAGGACCCAACAGAGCCATGAGCCAAGAACAGTCCACACCTGCTCTCGGGCTCTCTCTGGGCCCTCCTCGGGGATCCTGAGAAGGATCTGGGACAGAGCAGGAGGTTGGGAATGTCCCTAGTGTGGGAGCAGCCAACACAGCAACCAAAGGCAGGAACCCCTGCCCACATTGTCTGCTATGAAACAAAGACCTAAAGCCACCCTGCCATCCATAGGACATAGGGTGAGGCCATGCAAGAGGAGAAAGGGACAGAATACAGGCCTCTGCATGGGGGGAAAGAGGAGAAAATGGTCCCGAATTCATAACATTCAAAATCTCCTATTGCTGGGGGAGGATTAGAATCACTGAGAAAGCCCCAACCTCTAGACCTGGGACGCCAGCCTGCCTTCAACTGAGGCTGAACCACATCCCCTCCAGGCAGTGAGTCACGAGTGACAAGGAAGCTGTGGGAGAGGCAAGCACCTGGAGGAGAGCAGCTCCCAGGTGCACAGCAGGCCTCATGCTGCAAGCGGAGCAAGGAGAGTGACGGACACCCAAACCCAAATCCCAAACACGTCAGGGGTGGCTATCGCTATAACAGATACGCACAGATCAAAACCTGGCAAACCCCCACACGAACGGCTAAGGGAAGCGGGTGCCATTTTCAAGCCTACATACTATTCAGTTCATCTCTGCCAGTCTACACATAAAGTCAAGTTTCCAGGGGGAAATTATGAGACATGCAAAAAAGAAAAGAAAACAATTGACTTTCAAGAGATAAGGAATTGAACAACCCGTACTCAGGTATGAGCTACTTGTTGAAACTATCAGATAGGAAGTTAAAAATTACTATGGTTAATGTATTAATTACTTTAGTGGAAAAAGTAGATGAAATGCATGAACAGATGGAGAATTTTTAGCAGGAAACAAAAAATTATTAGAAATAACTGAATGAAAATGCTAAAAATAAGAAAAAGAAAACAACATGGTAAATGATGAAGGATGCTTTGACAGACTCATCAGCAGACTAAACACTGCTGAAGAAAGAATCAGTGAAACTGAAGGCAGGTTCATAGAAATTAGCCAAACTGAAACACACAGGAAACCAAGTGGCAGGTTTGGGATAGAATCAAGTTGATTTTTTTTTTTTTTTTTAGATAAAGAAGCATTGATCTATTGTTCCACTTATTTATCCATTTATTGGTTGATGCTTGCATGTGCTCTGACTAGGGATCAAACCTGTAACCTTGGCATATTGGGATGACACTCTAACCTACGGGTGTCGAACTCAATCAGAGAAGGGGCCAAAATCTAAAATCCAGCCTAAATCACGAGCCGAATGGTTTACTGAACAGTCATAAACTGTCATTGTGATGGAAACGCAGCGGAGTGCAGTGATGACAGCGCGGGGCGGGCCACACTGCAAGGCCTGGCGGGACGGATTTGGCCCGCGGGCCTTGTGTTTGACACATGTGCTCTAACCAAAGGAGCTACCTGGCCAGGTTGAATTTAACAACTAAGAAGAAGGTTGAGTTTCCTCATGCATGTATGCAGTATATCATGTTCCTGTCGGGCTGTGACAGCCCCGCACATGTGTGCTCCACGTCAGCACCTGCTCTGGGATCAGCACTTACCCTGAGACTCGCAGCCTCTGCAGCCCTCACAGTCTTGGAGACGGCCCGGAGGAGCTGCTGTGCGTTTCCCAGCAGGAGCTCCTCAGAGGACTTGCTTCTGGCCAACGAAGCCTTGACACTGGGGGTTACAGGAGGAAAGCAGCTGACATCCCACTGGATGAGAGGCGAACCTCAGACAGCCCAATGCCAGAGTGTTCGCAATGTGAGCCTTCGTGTTCGCAATGTGAGACTCAGAGAAAGAATGTGCTAATGAAGTAATTTGACGTTTTAAAGTAAAAATGTACATTTGGATACTAAAAAAGTATGACTCATATGGTATCTATAAATTAACAAGAAGTGTTTTTAATGAAAGTAACTGAAGAGATATACTTAAGTAATGAACTTGGGTAAAATCTCAGACTTTCAGAGCCTTTAGGATTTAGAGCTTGACAAATACACTGTAAGAAGCAGACCTTGTCTCTGTGATCTGAGCACTGACAGTTTAGGGCCTTGCTCACCTTGGAAAGGCAGCCCCTCCCAAGGAGAGCCAATTCCTGGAGGTAGTGAATGGTCAACTGAAAGTGCACCTTCCATATGCAAACTAACCAACCCAAACCCCGCCCACCTTCTCCCACTGCAGAGCCTCTGGAAACTAGTCAAACCAGCAGATCCTAAACCCCTGTAACCTGCTCACCCCTCTTGCCTACTCCTCCCAAGAAAACCATAGCAAGGCTCTGGCCTGTTTCCCTCTCACTCCTGCTTTTGATGGACCCTGCTTGGACCTACATGGGCCTGCATGGCCCCACGTGGCCCATGTGGCTCTGCTCCTAGGCCCTCTGAGGGTCTTCTTCCTTTCTGACAGTCATTTCCATGTGTGCGCGTCCTACCATGCCTGATTTAAACAAACCTCGAGCACCTGGATTTGAAGTGCTAATTCATTGCAGTTCCTGTAGTTTAAGTAGAGAAATTTGAGTAGCTAATCTTGAGATGTTATGTGCCTGAGATATTTCCTAAACTGGTGATTTTCCACCTTTTTCATGCCATAGTTCACAGAAACTAATTAGTAAAATTCTGCTACACACACACAAAACAAACAAACAAACAAAAAACCAACAACAACTGTTTTTGCTGTTATGACCAAAAGAAAAGAGGTATAATTTTGATTTATTCACATTGGATGGCTAATGTTGTGTTAGCTATTGTCATTATTTTATTTGACAATCTAAGGGAAAAGAGGTCAGTGCCCTGACTCTTGCAACACTACTAGTTGAAAATCACTGTCCTAGATAAAAGTAACCAGGTTACATTTTTAGTTTAAAATGTAAACTAGCAGCTTTCCATAATATCAGAATATTACAAACTAGAGGCCTGGTGCACAAATTCATGCACTACACAGGTGGGATCCCTCAGCCTGGCCAGCAATCAGGCCAATCAGGGACGAGGGAGAGGCTTAGGGAGGCTGGCCGTGGGAGTGCACTGACTACCAGGGGGAAGCTTCTGCATTGAGCATCTGCCCCCGGTGGTCAGTGTGCATCATAGTGACCAGTTGTTCGGTCATTCAGTCACTTAAGCTTTTATATGTAGATATATATCCGTTACTGATGAATGTGCAGTGTAGCTTTAAGGCACTTGAGTTGAAATGAAACTGGTCCATACTTATGACATTGTATATTGTCAACACGAAAGCTGTTGTAAGCAACAGTTAGCAAAACTGCTCACGTCCCGTTCAACCAGCATGGCTCAGTGGTTGAGTTCAACCTATGAACCAGGAGGTCACTGTTTGATTCCCAGCGTGGGGCTTGCAGGAGGCAACCAATCAATGATTCTCTTTCATCACTTACATTTCGATTTCTCCCTCTCCTTTCCCCTCTGAAATCAATAAATATATATTTAAAAAGCAAAAACAAAAACAAACAAAATCTCACCTCCAGAGTTCAGGCACATTAAATTAATTCACCTTAACATAAGTTATGTGCTAGCATAGTCTTTCTTGGACAGATAACACTGAAAATATTTGCACTTTGCAATTATTTTTACTGATATCTGGCTTTTTTGGTTATATTATTAGTATAAAAACAAATAGATCACTAATGGTAAAATTTTAAACATAATTATAAAGCACAGACTTGTGTTTGTAGATGGAGCCTGTCATGCAAACACCAGCATGTGTGTGCGATGTCGCAAAGGGAGATGGGGGGTGTCAATGCCGGTGGATTTGATTCCTGAAAATCCTTACGGTTACTCTATGTTTGCACCTACTCAGGGACAAGTTTTCCATGTTAAGTCTTATTTTTCTTTCTTACATATATCATCTGATATATTTGTGATAAAATAAGAAACAACAGTGGCTTAAATGCATTTCTGGTCCTCTGTATTAATTTGAAATTGCCAGAATCAATGTGGGCTCTTGGAGGATGAAGCATTAAAAGGAATATTAAAAAAAAAAAAAAAAAAAAAAAAAAAGGCATTTCCTCCCCACTCAGCCCTCTGGAGCCTGAGACCGCAGAGCACAGCTGCCCCCACAGCGGGTCCCACCACACCGTCTACCTGGAGATGATGCGGAGCTGGTTGCTCAGGGTCTGGATCTGCTCCACAGCACACAGGAGCTCCTGAGAACACCTGTGGTCGATGCAGTTCTTCGCAATGATGCGGGTGAGCCTGGCGAAGTCCTGTCCAGATGTCGCAACTTTCCTGGCAGAGGCGATGAGCTGCTCTTTGGTCTAAATCCAAAGAAATTACAAAGAAGGGGGCAAGCAATACTGTCGCAGTTTCCCCTAAGAAATCGGTGGCAAAGGGTGCCTGGCACCACTTTCTGCAGAATGAACACCGTTCAACGTGGTCTCCAGCAGGAAGGAGAGGGCTCAACTGGGGAGGTCAAGCTGAATATCCCATAACCTTCGAGTTATGGGAGGCCGTAACCCAGGACTCGAAGGTGCCCAAGAAAACTCAGACCACAAGATAGCAGTCTGGTGTAGATCTCCGCCAAGAAAGGAGATGCTGCCCTGCCAGGTGGCTCAGCTGGTTGGAGCATCGTCCTGTAGCCCAAAAGGTTGCGGGTTCGATTCCTGGTCAGGGCACACCCCTAGGTTGTGGGTTTGATCATCAGTCAAAGCGAGTGAGGGAGGCAACTAGTGTTTCTCTCTCTTTCTCTCTCTCTTGCTCCCTCCCTCTCCTCCATTCTGCTCTCTCTAAAAAGCAACGAACATATCCTCAGGTGAGGACTAAATAAAAACAAACAGCACACCCCTTCGATCTTCCTGCCGTCCTCCAGCTGCACCAGCCACAGTGCTGGCGAGGTCTAATGCCCTTCCCCAGGGTCACGGAATTTCCCAGCTCCCGGCCAGGACCCCGGGTCCCCCGCCTGTGTGGCCTGTGGCCCTCTAACTGCCATTTCCAACTTTTTCCAATTTACTCCTGAGCACCAGGCACTTTGGTGCTTGAAATCGGGTTGGTAGGAAGATGGGAATTTGAGGGTTTGGAGGAGAATTCTTCATGTTCCTCCATCTCACCAGGCATGAGCCTCACTACTGAAATTATCCTCTGGGCCCAGCCCGTGTGGACCAGTTGGTGAGCATCATCTCTTGCACCAGGAGGTCGCTGGTTCGATTCCCGGTCAGGGCAGCCTTAAGGCCCGCTGAGGGGCCATGCTGGAGGCAGGCAATGGATGTTTCTCTCTCATCAATGTTTCTATTTCTCTCTCCCTCTCCCTTCCCCTCTCTCTCTAAAACCAATAAAAACATATGTTTAACCAATGTATCCTTTGGTTCTTCTTTAGGTGCTATTTCCCTGGGAACCCCATGGTGCACAGGATTTGCATATTCCTGGCCCCTTCGACCACACACCATGGCCGACACCCAAACCCTGTATGAATTAGATATCAGAGAGGTTTGGAAAGGAATAGCAGTGAGCAAAAAGAGGTCACCACTGCCAGGTCTGACCTAAGGACCTTGGGGTCACAGTCCAATGAGATACTGGCTGGTTGAAGTGGGCAGGGTTGGGAAGAGGGATGGGACAATGGCAGGTCCTACTGACAGGTGTTAGGGACTGCTAGGTTTGGCTTATGGTCACCTGGTCAGGGGGCACCCTGACATCCAGCCTTCTCATCTGGACTCCCTTCCCACCCAGGATGAGAAATGGGGCCCCAAGCAGCCTGGCCATAGCTTTGGGAACCATTGGTACCTGGCAGACCAACATGGAAGGAGTTTTCCAAATGGCTTTGGAGCCGTTTTGGCTCTTCACTCTGGTCCCCACTCTTTTATTTTCTCAGTGTTGGTAAACAATGCTTAACTGAATCCGGATGAGGGCCAGGAGAGTTAGGACAGGGCCAGGGTGGAAGCGGCCCCTCCCGTAGGCAGCAGCCCTCCCCTCCAGGCCATGCTGGCCCTAAACAAGGCCTGTGGAGGCTGTCACCCTATTACCTCTATTTGGGGCAATTTTAAAAGATGTAAGTGGCCCCTTAGTCATCCTTCTGGAATACAAATGAATCCTTGATTTTATTAGGCTGCAGCTTCTGACAATTTATCTTTCTGGTGACTAAGACAAAACTGTGGTCATTGAGCCCAAAAGAGGAGAGGAAAGGAGAGGTAAAGTGACATTTATGATGCAGTAGACAGAGGAAGAGGAGAGCATGCAAAGGTGCTAAGTGCTGAGCACCCGAGTAGGAGAGTGGCCCTACTGTGTGGGGAGCCCCAGGCCCTGGAGGACAACGCCTGGTACCCACTCCCAGCCCCTCCCACTGCCCAGTCTCTCCATCTCCCACGTCCCCGAAGGCCACGTACCAGGAGGCGCCCTCTGCTCCGTAGACTCTGAGCCATCAGGAGCACCTCCTCGGCCATGTCCTGGGTCATCTGGGTGATTCTGTTCCCGCTGTCCGTGCTGTGGTCCTGCGGGGGCCGCTCCGGCTCTGCCCCCCGCCAGGCCCGGCCGCCAGGGGCGCAGGGCGGGCTGCCGCAGGGCTGCTGCAGGGGGAAGACAGAGCTGGCGAGACGCCTGCTGCTGGGACCTTCCAACCACCAGGGGAGGTTAACGGCCTTGTCACCATGTAACTGAGGGAACCGGGAGGGCTTCCGACTGCCCACGTGCCAGCTGCCCTCAGCACCTCTCCTAGCCCACGGGAAAACGGCGAGAAGAGGAAACGGCGGGTCCCTGTCCCTCGGGGCCATTCACCCAGAATCTGCACAAACTGGAACCTGGCAAAGTCCGATCCCAGGACCGTTACAACAGCAGTGTCTTTCCCGCCGTGACTTTGCAGACCTCACCCGGGAGAGGGGGGGATCTATAGGTTCCTGAAATTCGGGAAACCCTGAGTGTTCCAACTTTGGGAGCCCAAATCCTGGCCAATGACACCGAGGGCCCGTGGGGACCCCGATGGGCCAGAGGACTCATCTGGGACGACGGCTCAACTGCAGTGAGCGAAAACAGGGAGAAAATGGCAAACGCGTGATTTGATGGCCCTTGAGCTAAGGATTAGGAAAGTCGGGAATGTTCTTCTCAGCTTGTGTCTCACATGCAACCGCAGGGACCCTCCGCTTCCAAAGCTAGAAATGTCCCCAGGCTCCTCTGCGGTGAGGGGGGGCACACTGGAGACCCCGTAGCCGCGCTGACTGCCGTTAGAAATAGGGAATGCCCAGGCTGTGACTTACAAGTGCCCGGGCGACGAGGAACCCCTTCCCAAACCATGTGGCCCCAGCAGGCTCTGACAGGTGCTCACGATTGGGGGTGCTCTTCTGGGATGTGGGGGAGGAGGGCTCTGAACGAGCTTGCTGTGGTGTCTGCCCAGGGCGGCTGTGCCGCGTGGCCAGCAGGTGTTGATGAGGAGGGGAAAGTGTCAGGTGAGCTGACAGACATGGAATGTGCTGTCAGTGAAGCCGGTGGCATTAAGTGTCGGGGAAGTCCCAGTGGGAAACCAGAAAAGGAGGAGCCCACAGGCTATCTGAGCAGATGGGCCGGAGCCAGGGAGGCCAGACAGCCTGGAAGGGCTGGGAGAAGGAGCTGCCCGCCAAGCGCCAAGCTACATTGGGAACAGGGCCCCTTCGCAAGGCAATGGTTTGTTGTTGTTTTTTTTAATCCTCAACCAAGGAGTGAGGATATTTTTCCCATTGATTTTTAGAGAGAGTGGATGGAAGAGGGGGAGGGAAGAGAGACAGGAGAGAGAGAAATATCAGTGTGAGACACACCAATTTTTGCCTCTCCCATAGGTCTCATAGGCCCTGGCAGGGATCGAACCTACAACGCAGGTATGTGCCCTTGACCAGGAATCGAACCCGGGATACTCTGGTGCACCGCCAATGCTCTAACCACTGAGCACACCGGCCAGGGCTCAAGGTAATTACAAGAAAAGGGAAGTAAAGAGATGAAAAGTAACGGAGTGAAGAAACAGGTGATCTGGTCAACTGCATCTCAGGAGAGGACTGGGCAGGGTTTGGAGGCTCTGGGCTTCCTAGCACAAGGTCGCAAAGGGGAGGGAGTAGGTTTGCCTAAAACGCTGGCCACACCCTCTGCTAGGGAGCTTCTCGGGCCCCACCAACCCCCCCCCCCCCAGTGTCTCCCACTGGCTTTGATCACAGTCGGTCTAAGAAAACCAAGTGTTTGAGATCTAATGCCCGACTGTGCTGTCCGTTGCCCTGGGAAGAAATGACGGTGCCGGAGGGTGTCCCAGACAAAGCACCTCCCAACAAGTCCTCCCCTTTTGCCTACGCTGACTCAGCTGGGGTCCCTGCTGCTTAAAACAGAAGAACCCTGATGGGGGCCGGGCAGGAATGGTGGCACAAGGAGCCAGGGCCATAGAGGGTAGCTGTCAGTCACAGCAAGGCCACTCGCTGCAGCTGGGCGACTCAGCAAACTTTCTGGAGGTCAGTAAGTATGGCCACTCCACACGGCACCCTCACTATGTGCAAGGATCTCGTGTGGACACTGCAGGAACCCGCTGCCCAGAAGGCACCAATGCTCCCATTCTCCAGATTGGAATCTTGATTCCAAAATAGCTAAGAGCTTCTCTATGGGCTCAGGGCTGGGCAATGGCAGAGGCAGGCGCATCCCAGCCATCTGCTGCCCGACCCTGGGCTCTCCGAGGTGCCCGTGCTGCCTGCCAGGGGTGAGTTATACATGTGGGCACCGGGACAGATTTTGCTGGAACTCGATAGCAGGTTTGGTTCCTAGAAAGTGGGCTGAGGAGGGGGGTGGAAGGTGCTGCTGTCCTACCGTGTCCAGGTCCGCCGCAATGATCCTGGTGATGGCTGGGCTGGCCATGCAGGTCTCTGCAGAGCTCCCTGGCGTATCTCTTGGGGCAGCAACCAGAGACTCCACACTGCCCGCTGCAGCAGCCCCTGCAGCTCCCTCCTGGAGGTGGAGCTGGGGCTGGGCAGGGTTCTGTTCATCACTGGGCCTCAAGCACCTCGCCAGGAGTCTGCAGGCCTCGCTGTGACCACCTTGCCAGGCCTGCAGCTGGGCCACGGCGTGGTGGGCCTTGGCCGCCCACTCCCACTGGAGCCAGTCCGGGATGTGCGCTCCCCCCTCCTCTGGGGGTTCTTGGAGCGCAGGGACCCTCTGGGCCACCTCCTTGGTGAGGACGAGAATGCTCTCCAGAGCCACCAGAAGGCCTTCCCGACTGGGCCCGGCCTCCTGGCCTCCTGCCACGATCGTCTGCACAGCCTGGATGCCAGACACCATCCTTCCCAGGGAGCTTTCCAGCCTGCGGGGTCTGAGGCCCGGGGCCTGGGGGTCCTCACAGACAGAGAGCCTGGGGCTGAAGGCATCTTGGAGGGCCCGTCCATAGTCGGCGTTGATGCTGCCGAGGTGGCCGGTCAGGGCCTTGGCCCTGAGGGTGAGCTCCAAGCAGAGAAGGTCAAAGCGTGTGGACAGGCTGGGAGACGGCCTGGGGGAGGAGGCCAAGATCTGTGCCACGTCCAGCAGAGCGTCGGTGAGCACATGAACTTCCCTGCCCAGAAAGGCCACCTCACCCTTGACCCGCTCATCCCTACACAGCGGCCTCGACAGCCTGGCAGCCTCCTGCAGCCTCTGAGAGACATCTGCTGCCTGAGCCAACCCTTCCTGCAGCCCCCGCCGGTCCCTCACAGCCTGTCGCAGGGGCAGGAGGAACAGTCCTTGCCTCCCGCTGAGCCTCTCCATGCACTGGAGCAGGCCTTGGACAGCCACTGACCACAGCAGGCACCTGTCCCCGAGGCTCTCCTCCCACGCTATGGCGGCTTGGAGGCCATCCGAGACCAGAACCTTGTTCAGCAGCTGTTTAGCGTGGGTCTCTGCCTCCTCCAACCTGCCCCGCATTTGTAAAAGTGCTTCTGGATGCCCCATCGGGCCAGGGTCCTTCTTACCCAAATCCATGGACCCCCCCTTGGCCGCTAGTTGAGCCATTGAAACTAAGTTCTGCTGCAGCTCCATGAACACGGCCGCGCTCCCCGGAAGATCTGCTGCCGGGTGGTGACAGAACAGCTGTTGACACAGAGGGTACCAGTCACCAGCCATAGCTACCAAATCCCGCCTGCTGGCCCTGGCTCTCCCGGACAGCTGGAGAGACACTTCCAGAAGCCTGCTGGTCCTGGCAGCTGTGCAGTGTGCTGTCTTCCCTGCCAGGACAGTAGCAGAAGGTGCCAGCACCGGGATTTCTTGGAGTCCATTCATCCTCTCTGATCCCAGTGGTCCCTCCCCAGCCAGGGACTCTTGAGCTGCAGCCACAGCTACACCCAGCTGCTGAGGGGTGGTGCCGGCTGAGGACACGGGCTGGTGGCTACAGCTCTCTGCAGCAAGAGTGAGCTTGCTGACTGTGGGGAGTGGAGGGCCCCTACTCTGTGTACAGGTGTTGGGACTCAAGGGACTGGAAAGATGGCTCCTGGGTGGGTAGGAAGTGCCTGGGTCACTTTCCCCGAACCCTGGCCCCCTCTGGTGCGTCAGTGCTGGAGTTGGGGAGTCCTGGAGGCTGGGGAGAGCAAGAGGCTGTCTCCTTGCCACGTCAGACCTCTGGACTTGGTCCCGAAGCGGGCTGAGGATATCGGGGTGGTTCGTCCCATCCAGCCCCTCCTGGAGGCTCTGAGCGGCACAGATGAGACGTTTTGCCACCGTTAGAAATGCATCTGTGTCCTGAGCGCTGTGCCCGCCTGAACAGCGCTCAGCAGCCGCACCCAGGACCAGGGAGGATTGCTCTAACTGCCAGATCAAGACTCTCAGGCCGTTCCGGAAGATGGGGTCTCGATCTTGGTCCACGTATCTGTTCATCACCTGCACGATGTGTGCGGCGCGGCCCTGTAAGTATGCCACTAGCCTGGGAAACTCGCGGGCGTCTCCGCTCCTCCAGGCCCAGGTGAAGAAGTCCAAGTGCTTGCCCATCTCCTGAACGGATACACTCAGGAACTCGGGAATACTGAGAACCTCGTCAAAACACGCCAACAGGCGCGCAGAGGCCGTGGCCCAGGCCTGGAGCAGGGCCTGCAGGGCGGAAGGGCTCCAGCCTGGGCCTTGGGAGAAAAGCTGCTGCACCGTGACCACAAGCCCCCAGAGGCCGGCCATGGTGACCTCCAAGTCCCCGCCGGCTTGTGGTCTGGGACAGCACACCAAGGCCAAGTGGCCCACTCGGAGCATCTGCTGGGCCTGCTCCTGGAATGCGGCGAGGAGGAGCTGGAGGCTCTCGGGCCCGGCCTCGCTGCCCCGCGGGGAGCGAACAGGTGCTGTCGCCGAGGCGGCCCGGACCAGCCTTTGCAGAGGGCCCTGCGTGTCGGTGAACGCGCCCAGGATCTGGCGCAGCAGCCCGGCGCGCACGCCCCGGGACAGCGCCTCGGTGGCGGCCCGCAGCGCCGCGCGCTCCCCCGGGGGCTCCCGGCGCCGCAGCTCCAGCAGCCGGCGGCACGGGGCCACCAGGCGCAGCCTCTCGGGCGGCGCGGCCCCGGCCGCCAGGCACATGCAGGGCCCCAGCAGGGCGGCCAGCGCGGCATCCAGCCCTCCCC